CCCGAAACCCTGACCCTAAAGCCTAACCGTGGTACTATTTGTCCCAAACGGACGAACCCTCAAAGCAGGCCACTACGACCACGACGACCTCGGAGGCAGGTCCATCCTCTGCCCAGAGCCCAAGGGGCCCTTTAGAATTTGGGTTTAGGGCTTGGGGGTTTAGGGTTTAGGGTTTAGGGGTTTTGGGTTTAGGGTTTGGGGGTTTGGGGGTTTAGGGTTTAGGGTTTAGGGTTTAGGGTTAGGCATGTCCTTTCGGCACAAAAAAGCTTCTCGACAGGGTTGTATACGGTCTTAATAGTTTTTGTACATGAAGGGTATTGGGCTCCCTTGGGGCATGGAGTTGTCGCCGGTATACCCAACCCGACAGCCTGAACCTTCAATCCCAAACGCTTGACGTCGAAACTTTTCTGTAAAGGCTTTGTACATCGTTTTGCAAGGGTATGTAAATTTGGGTTCCTGTCTAACCGTCCAATGTGCCGTACACTGTGCCAGACCCCAGCCAACCCCGAAGAGATATTCTGCTCGTGGCGCCACACCTACCTCAGTAGGGTGTTGAAGCACTTCCAGTAGCCGCAAACCGACAGTGTCGCCGCAGACTGATGGATGGACTGGGTTCCAGGCATTGAGAAAGACCCCTCAACCGACATGTTGAAGATAGCAGCAATCTTCACATTTGCACCTAAATCCAAAACCGTCAACGCTAAACCCTAACCTAAACCCTTAAACATACAGTAGAAGCCAGAAAGTTGGAACATCATTATCCTCATGCTCTTAAGGTAAAGTATAGGGAATCCCAGCACTAATCATCCTAAAGCCATGTTCCAACTTTCTGGGGTTCACTATAAGCTCCAAGCCGTCAGCCCGTACCCACAACCAAACCATACCTCCCCGTCACCAAAAAAACTCCATAAACGCTATGCCCCGAACCTTAAGTCTCAAGCCTTGAGCCCGAAACACTAAGCCCTAAATCTCAAACCCTCAGCCCTGAACCTCAAATCCTGAACACCTGAATCCTAAAACTTTAAACCCCTTAACCCCCAAAGCCCTAAACACGCTAAGCCCCTACCTGTACTCTCCATTGTAGATCCTTTTTTGGTTTAGCAAAGTTATAATAGGATCCTATTGCCATGAAGCTGGTTAACCAAAGTGGAACTGCAACGGAGACTGTAGGTAGATGCCCGACGTCCTAAACTCGACACAATCGAAATCCTAAACCCCTAAACCCTAAACCCTAAACCCCCTAAGCCCTAACCCCCTAAACCCCTAAACCCCTAAACCCCTAAACCCCTAAACCCCTAAACCCCAAACCGTCAGGAGCCGACCACGACCACGAGCATTCCGATTGCTTCGGGGTCCGGAACGTCCCTTCGGCCTTGCTGGTGAAGGGCTTCAGGGGTTTAGGGTATCTTAGGGGCTGAGTAGGTAACCTTTAACCTTTTGGGGCTTAGATAATCCTACTATAATTCAAAAGGTTAACCTTTTTTGGGCAGGGTACTCAGCCACTAAGGTATAGTGGTTTAGGGTTTAGGGTATAGTGGTTTAGGGTTAAGGGTTTAGGGCCTAGTGGCTTAGGGTTCTTAGTGGTTTAGGGTTTAGGGTTTAGGGTTTAGTGGTTCAGGGTTGAGGGTTTAGTGGTTTAGGGTTTAGGGTTGAGGGTTGAGGGTATAGTGGTTTAGGATTCAGGGTTTAGTGGTTTAGGATTGATAGTGGCTTAGGGTTTAGGGTTCAGGGTTTAGGGTATAGTGGTTTAGGGTTCAGGGCTTGGTGGTTTCGGGTTCTTAGTGGCTTAGGGTTGAGGGTTGAGGGTTTAGTGGTTTAGGGTTCAGGGTTTAGTGGTTGGTTCAGGGTTTAGTGGTTTAGGGTTTAGGGTTTAGTGGCTTATGTAGGGTTTAGGGTTTAGTGGTTTAGGAAGGGTTTCAAGGGACTTAGCATGGTGGACAAAGGGTCCTATAAGGGTTCGACGAGAGCTCCACAAAGGAGAAGGGAGTTGCGGAGTTCGATAGCTATGGTTTTTCGCTAAGGGTCCATGTACCCAAATAGTATATACTTTGGCCAAAAAAAAGTAGTCCCAAAGTGGATACTTTGGCGCCAAAGTATCTACTATTTGG